GTGGGGTGGGCCTGGGCGCGGGGCCGGGCACCAGCCCTCAGGGCACCAGGCAGCACTGAGCCCGATCGGCCTGTCTCCCCAGCAACGCCAAGGACATGCCCGCAAACGTGTGTGAAGCCCTGGAGTCTGTCTTCCGGGAGGAGGGGGGCCTCTCGGGCCCTGAAGCTGCCCTACACTCAGCGGCCGCGTCCCTGGCTTCAGCTGGCCTTTCCCACTGGCCCCAAGTTAGATCCTGCTCAGGGGGTGACCCAGGAAGGCACCCTAGCCTGATGGGCATCAGGGAGCTCCCCCAGACGCCAGATTCCACACGGCACAGGCATCTGGGGTGCAGGGTCCCCGGAGGGCTGAGTTCCCCCTCCTCTGCCCTGGGTAGCACCCCAGCCCTCAGGTTCCCGGGCCTGTGGGACGAGTCACCATCCTTGCCTGGTTCCAGGAAGACTCGGTAATAAACGGCAGGCTCAGGTGCTGCTTCTGACCTGTTGGTTCTCATGCTGTTCCATGCCTCAGGCCGGGGTGGGCCCACAGCTCCCGGGACGGGAACAGCCGCCCCTGGCGGGGACACGTGGCCGTGGCTCAGCACCGTAGCTGTAACACTTTGGTGTCTGACTCTCACCTGGTGGGTGGGGCTGTTTGCCCACCTTGTACAAGCTCTGCCCTGGCTCTGACGGGGCAGGAGGCAGTCTGGAGAGGACCCCGAAAGGAAGGGTGTGGGGAGTGCCCGGCTAGGCCGGTAAGGACCATTCCTTCAGGCCAGGGATCAGCAGCCTGAGGCCCAGGAGGAAGGGGGTGTGGCCTGAGCCAGGAGGGGGCGGGCAGGCGCTGTCACCACCTGGGATGGGCCTTCCGGGCCAAGGAAATTCCTGTTGGGGCAGTTGGGCAGGCCGGCCTCCCGACACTGCGGGCCTGGAGCCCATCGTCTAAGTCAGGTGCTGACACGGGTCAGCGGTGGCTGTGCGGGCTCGGGCGGACCCAGTGGGACAGCCTGTGTGGGCCCAGGAGCGGCTGAAGCTGGCCCGGTGCTGAGGCCCCAGGGAGTCCACTTCCGGTCGGGGCGAGGAGCCCGAGGAGGCAGTGGCTGCTGCAAGGTCAGTGCCAGACGCTAACCCGGCCCGAGGGCCACAGTGGCCTTCACAGCCCCACCCCCCACTGCCGCCCTGGGGTCCCGCTCCCCCCATCCTGACTCAGGCCCCGGGGCCCCTACTCATGGCCCCACTGACCTTAGCTCGGGGCTCCCCCATCCGCCTTCAGCCTGCCCGGGTCCTGAGCACCTGGACCCGCTGTGCCAAGTGCTGGCAGAGGAAAGGGTAGACGGCCAGGCCCTGGGGAACCCTGGGGGTGCCCGGTCTCCGGACAGCGAGCCCCTGCTGGGGGCCACAGCGGCAGCCCACCCCTGGGCTGGGCCCACAGGGGAGGAGGAAGAGGAGGAGGAGGAGTGCCCCATCTGCACAGAGCCCTACGGGCCTGGTGGGCACCGCCTGGCCCTGCTGAACTGTGGCCACAGCCTGT